ATATACTTCTATGTTTTTTATAAAATTGAAACAAAGTAAATGCTGAGGTTTAAACACCAATGTATCTCTGAATGAAGAATGAATATGTCCAAGAGTCACTCAAAACTTTTGCAAAGAGAAGAAAATGGTATAACATTTTATAGGTATTTGAAAAGATTGTTAATGTTAACAGAGCTCTTACTTTGGACTTTTTGTTCCTTCTTTGCCATCTTAAAATACCTGTCATTGACACATTGGTCCAACTGTTCTTTTGTTCCTTTCCTTCCTCTAGTCACCATTTCACTAAGGCCTATTTTATATGTCCTGCCTTTATTTAGTGAGAAGGAAGTTTATTTTCTAACTTATAGCCAGTGTTTCAACAACAACCATTTGCTGAAAACCCAGGATGTCTCTATTATTATGCAAGGCATATGAAGGATTTGAAGAGATTAATGCTCACATATAGAACAAGTCACTATGGGACAATTAAATTTTGAATTATGGGACTATAATCATAAAAAGAGTTCAGTGATAGAAGAGATTATTTGTGAACTGTTATAATCAAAGAGATCAGTGCTGAAACACAAGTAAGAACTTGGAAGATGGGAGGTAAAATATTTGCTCCACTGTCATAAGACACATTTGTTATTGAGCAAAGCAGAAGAACATCAAAAAAAGTATCGGACAAACCCAGGGTAAAATAAAAAGTATACTCTGATGGCAAGGGTAAAAAAGAGTTGTTGTTGTTGTTGTTTAGAAGAATTTTAGGAGAACAAATTTTAGCAGAATTTGTTCCAGAATGGAGCGAGAATATGAGAGTAAGAGAAATGGAGTTGCCTAAAAACTTTATACAGTGAGTAGAAAGAAAGGAAAGAAAGACCTGACAAAACCAAATTAAAGAAATTGCAGTACAAAGTATAACTACTTATCAAAAGTTAGGAAACGTTTTTAAAAAATGGGGCACCTGGGTGGCTCAGTCTGTTGAGTGTCCTACTCTTGGTTTTGGGTCAAGTCATGATTTCACAGTTGGTGGCATCCAATGGGCACTGGGCTCTGTGCTAGCAGGGCGGAGCCTGTTTGGGATTCTCTCTCCTTCCCTCTCTTTCTGCACCTCGCCTGCTTGTGCTCTGTCTCTCTCTTAAAATAAATAAATGAACATTAAAATAAAAGTTAGGGGGGCGCCTGGGTGGCTCAGTCAGTTGAGCGTCTGACTTCGGCTCAGGTCATGATCTCGCGGTCAGTGTGAGCCCTGTATCGGGGTCTGTGCTGAGAGCTCAGAGCCTGGAGCCTGTTTCAGATTCTGTGTCTCCCTCTCCCTCTGCCCCTCCCCAGCTCGTGCTCTGTCTCTCTCTGTCTCAAAAATAAATAAATGTTAAAAAATTTAAAAAATAAAATAAAATAAAATAAAAGTTAGGGAGTGTCCCCTGCCCACTGCAGCATGTAGTGTTTCCATTAGCCTACCCCTTCCCCCAACTCACACCCATCCAGAAATTATACGATTATGGCAGGTCAGGAGGGAGAGGCAGGAGCCTCTTTTATTCAGGAAAAGGGAGGAGAGAGCAAAGCAAGCAATGGGAATTGGAATGTGCTTCTCCCTCCATTCCTGGTATGAGACAGCAAGCAGTCTGTTAGCCCACAAGGCCAGTATAAGGATTGTGCATTAGGAATCTGAGTGCTAACCTAGGGTTTTGTCTTTAAAAGATTCAGCTCACTGGGGCACCTGGGTGGCTCAGTCCACTAAGCATCTGACTCTTGATTTTGACTCAGGCCATGATCTCATGGTTCATGAGTTTGAGCCCTGCATCAGGCTGTGCACTGACACTGTGGAGCCTGCTTGGGATTCTATCTCTTGCTCTCTCTCTCTCTGCCCCTCCCCTACTCATACTCTATCTCTCTCTCTCAAAACAAGCAAGCAAGCAAACAAACAAACAAACAAAAGATTCAGCTCACTGACCCACCAGAATAATACTACTGCTAAGTTGTCTGGGTCACTCGTGCCTCACAGCACTTACTTCTATATTTTCTAACTCTGATTCCTGAATCCTTACCTTACCCAAGATCAACCTTAGACAAACCAGGATGAAAGCAAAATTTATCATTAATTTTGAGGAAAAGCCACTGCAAATAAGCAATAAGGATTTGATGTACTAGTGCATGTAGATGTCATCCCTCAAGGGCTGCAAGGAAACACTGAGGGAAACGTGGCAAGGGCTGATTAACTATCAGTCCAAGGCTGCATTCACTCCAGAAGTATAACAAAATCAGTAGGAATGCAGTCAGACTGCTTGGGCCAGATCTTGGCTCCTTCATTACTAGTGTGACCTTGCTCAAATCTTTCCACTCCTCTGTGCCTCTGTTTCCTGCACTGCAAAATGGGAGTGATAACACATGGTGTTGTTTAAGGATAAATGCTGCAATGTGCTCATGGCGGAGGAGGCTTTGTAAGCACTACATAAAGATAACCGACATTTAGACTGAAACTCATTTTTTACCAAACTCTGTACAAATATAACTTCGTAGTAATCTGAGAGTTGTTTTCATTATTATCCTCATTTCAGGGATGAGCCGGAGGCTTAACAACTTATAACTTTCCCAAGATGATGGAGTGTATACAGGTTCAAAATGACTTCACCTGAAATTTTGCTCTACCCTCACCAACTCTGTCTCTGAAATCTGACACTTAAATCCAAATACATCTTTTTATTTCTTGGGCTGCAAAAACCGAAAGCAAGCATGGAAAAGGAAGGCAAAGGAGTCAATATTTTACAACTCTCTACATATTTTAGGTTATACTCTCAAATGCCTTGTGCTATAGTACCCTCTGGACTACCCGTCTGCCATACAGTATACTGCCCTCCTCCTCTTTCACTACGTTTACCAGCAATGCCTAAACAAATTGCACCAGAAAAGTTAGGCATGTTATCTAATTGCTGTTTCTCCAAAAAAGATATGCTAAAAGCTAAGGCTTCTTTATGATGTCTATATTAACCTAGTTTTCCTTCCCTTAATATGGTATTCACATTTAAATAACAATGCAGTGATGTTCATAATTCAGAAAGCATGTGAGGTGAAATGAGTCTAATTGGAAAAAAGTGCTTATGAAGCCTCAGAGCAGGCATGGTACAGCCAAGTTCAAAACGTACATAGCTCTGTTACAGACATTCCACGGTAGTAGCACAAAAAGCGACACATTGCATTAACACATAAGCATGAAAGCATCATATCCTATTCATAAGAAACAGGTGTTAAATTATAGGAGTGCATTTTGTTCTTATGGTATTTATGTCTTTCAAGTTTGTTTGACATTCCAGAAACACTGGGACTTATGAATAAAATTGGAATCATTTTCTTACCCTACTTTCTATTGGGAAGATAAACAGAGATAAATTCATCTATGCATCTTATGAACACACACACTGATTATGCATAAGGAAACCAATTAACTAGGTGAAACGCTTTTTACTTTTGTACTTCCTGTTATTCTTTCTCAGATTCCTGTGGTTTAAAGTGGTAGAATCCATTCAAAATATGGAATGACCATATTGCTAACAGTAAGCAGAGAATGATAAATAAAGGCATTCAGGGATCTTGGAAGAGCAAGAATAATAATAAAAAAATTACTTCCTTCAGGAACACCCTAGAAATTCTAATGTGATAATTCATAATAGAACTCACTTGACAGGGTAGGGAGAAAGGTGTGGGTTTGATGTACTAAATAGCTCTAAAAGAGACTGAGTTTTTGATACTGAATAGATAAAATATATACTTCGACATATAAATCAAGGGGAAAATTAGTCAATCATATTTAGTAAATGGTTCTTTCCCCTCTATGCATCTTGGTTCTATTTTTCATTTAATCTAGTTTTTATTATAAATTGGATGAGTTATGTCAGAAGTGTGGGTTGGAAGAATTTTAATTAGTTCTTCCTTAGGAGAGAAATATATTGTACAGAAAGCCGATTTAATGCTGTAGCTGATATTCAAATGTGAGATTTGAATATATAGAGAAACATTGTATTTATATATTATATTCATATATAAACATTAACAAAGCCTATATACACTACACTAATTATATGTCACACACACACACACACACACACACACACACACACAAATAAAAGTCATAGTGGTTTCAGCTATCTGACAGTGATACTAATAGACCTAACAGACCATGTGGCTATACAGGTATACTTTGTTTTATTGCACCTCACTTTCCTGTGTTTCACAGATATTGCATTTTTTTCAAATTGAAGGTTTGTGACCACCCTGCACCGAGCAAGTCTATCAGCACTATTTTCCCAACACCATTTGCTCACTCCATGTCTCTGTGTCATATTTTGGTAATTCAATATTTCTAATTTTTTATTATTATTATATTTATTATGGTGATCTGTGATCAGTAATCTTTGAGTGCACTATTGTAATTGTTTTGGGTCCCCCCCCACCCCACCACCACCACCACCAAACTATGCCCTTGTAAGATGGCAAACTTAATCAATAACCTTCATGTGTGTTCTGCTTCACTGACTGCCTGTTCCCCCATCTCTCTTCATCTCCTTGGGCCTCCCCATTCCCAGAGACACAATAATATTGAAATTGGGCCAATTAAGAATGGTGCAGTAGCCTCTAAGTATTCAAGTGAAAGGAAGAGACATGTTTCTCACTTTAAGTCAAAAGCTAGAAATAACAAAGTTTAGTAAAGAAGGCGCGTTGGAAGCCAAGGCAGTCTGAAAGCTGGGCATCTTGTACCTAACAGTTAGCCAAGTTGTGAAAGCAACGGAAAGCACTACTCTGGTGAGCACATGAATGATAAGAAAGCAAAACAAACTTATTGCTGATATGGAGAAAGTTTCAGTGGTCTGGACAGGAGATCAAACCAGCCACAACATTCTCTTAAGCCAAAACTTATTCCAGAGCAAGGCCCTAACTCTTTTCAACTGTATGAAATCTGATTAGTGAGGGAGCAGCAGAAGTAAAGTTGGAAACTGGTAGAGATTGGTTCATGAAGTTTAAGGAAAGAAATCCTCTCTATAATATAAGAAGTCATCTCCGCTTTCCAGAGAAGCAAAACGCAGGATCTCTGAGGTATACCTGCACATTCTTGAAGTATTGAGTACAATTCTGTATTGTGTGCATTAGAGGAAGATTGACATTCATATTTTCTATATTTTGACTTTTTCTCTAGTCTGCTTAAAGGATAATAAGAGACATACAAAATCAGTTTCAGTGGAGGTGGATTTGTCCATTTCTCATTGACAGCAATTCTGTCAAATTTATATATATATTGCTTTATATATTTTTATAAATATATAATATATATATTTATATATTTTTTGAATTCACAATTTATGGTGGGTTACTTGAAAAATGGTACATTTATGATGTATTTTTTCTTTTATTGTTGTCTACATTTTTATCCTGAAAAATTATTTTTGTCTTAAATTCTATTTCATGTGCTATAAATAACCACATTGTTTTTCTTTGATTAGTTTTTAACATAATATTTTGTTTCCATTTCTTTACTTTCTAAATTTCCATTTTATTTTCTTTAGGTATATCTCTTTTAAGATGCATGTACCTGTTTCACTTTTTAAAAAATCTTTGCCTTTTGAGGGGTAAGTAAAATGTAGTTCAATTATAATTTGTGCCTATGTGTGCTTGTGTGATTGCTAATATATTTTGATACACATATACAATCCTTTTTGGTGTGATTTTCTAGTTTATCATCCATCTTCTATGAGTACATTTTTTATTTACAGTGTTATATTTTATCTATTAACTTTTCAATTTATTTTTTCTTGCCTCTGCTGATTTGAAAATATTATATCCCATGTTTTCTCCTTTAGGGGTTACTCTGAAGTAGTTAACATGCCTAAATTTTTTTAAAAATTGCAATTCCATTGCCTAGTTGCTCAATCTGTAGAGCATATAACTGTTGATCTCAGGGTCATGAGTTCAAGATCCATGTTGGGTGTAGAGATTACTTAAAAAAAGAAAAAAATATATATATATATAATTCCAATATAATCAACGTTTATCTCCCTTTCCTTAATGACAAAAAACCTTTAGAAGATTTTAAGTCTGAATCTTCCCTTACATCTTACATTATAAATTTTTCATGTCTTTTAGTTATACATTATGTCCTCCCTTAAATTTATAACTATTATGGTTGCTTTGTATACAGCAAAAATTCACTTAGATTTCGTTACATTTTTTATAAATATCTTTATGCTCTCTGACTTTTTCCTCACTTATTCATTCTTTCTCTGAATTACATCTTTGTTATTTCACTAAATATTCCAATTCACATATTCAGTTTTCATTTGTGTCTACTTCACATATTCATCATGATTTCTTTCTTTTCTTTTAATTTTTTTAACATTTATTTATTTTCCAGAGATGGAGAGAGACAGCACGATCCAGGGAGGTGCAGAGAGAGAAGGAAACACAGAATCTGAAACAGGCTCCAGGCTCTGAGCTGTCAGCCCAGAGCCCAATGTGGGACTTGAACTCACGAACCATGAGATCATGACCTGAGCTGAAGTCTGACACTTAACTGACTGAGTCATTCAGGTGACCCTCTTTGTGATTTCATTGTAAGTCCCCTTATTTCACAAGTTTTATTAGAATAGTTTACTCTTAACCTGTATTGCCTTTAACTTTGCTATTTTATTATTTTAATTGCTTGTGCAACTTTTGATGTGTGTTTACTGCTGATTCTTATTCATTGTGAATTGTTACTGTCCATGTGTATGTGTGTACACATATGTTTGACCTCATTTTTAGTGGAGTTTTTCCATTTAGAGGGAACTGTGCCCCAGCTACACAGGAGATCACTCAGTTCCAGTGTGCTAGATCTTTGGGGATGTCTAAAGTTCATGAATAAATTTTATGCTGGTTTTTTGCTTAGGGTCTCTTAAACCAAATGGGAAAAGTAAATTCAATCCTCAAACCTATAAGACACACAGTCAAGGTTTTTCTTTCTCAAGGGATTCTATTTTCTGTTCTCGGACTTTCCTTGCTATCTCCTTCAGCATATAGGAGAACACTTTGTAATTACACCCACACTAAGCATGCTGATCTTGGGAGGTCTGCTTTGACTTTTGCTTTCAGGTAGGCATTGAAACTCAAGATCTTGGGTTATTGTGGTTCCATGGCTATAAGAACACAAACTCAGTTGCTTAAATGCTAATCACTCTTGTTTTTAGCTTCTTTTTTGTTTATGGCATGTGGAGATTACCTTCTTAGTGGTGAGCTCAGTGGTGTATTTTATGGTTGCTTTACTGCTGTTACATTTTATGCGATACTGTAGGTGGTAGATACAAAGGACATATTCATATCATGTCAGCTCACCATCTTGCCTCTAACTGGAATTCCTGTTTTGTTGAACTCTTATCAGAAAGCTAAAAAATGTGGTTGTTTGAGGTTACCTCCTATTCTAGGAATGACTTTAACAGAACACTAGGGATATATTTTAGTCACTTATGTGCTGCTTTCAGGATTTGTGGCAAGACCACATGCAACCACTATTTATTTCATAGTTTTTGTTACATCAGCTTGGTAAAACACAAAGCAAACAAATAAAATTAAAACAAAAACATAAGCAAAATCAGTCTCAAATGAGTTATTTATCCTGGACCTAAACAATAATATCTGATAAATCATGGTTTTAGAGAAACTCTTTATAATTTTCTAGTTAAGCACTAAATTAGGTATGTAACTATTTTTATTAATTGTGTCTGTTTTACCACCTAGGTAATATAGTTACCAATGAATTTATGCTACATATTTAATTATTTATAGATGAAATGCAAAATGTGTTTCAATTTTAATAGTTTACTGGATGATGAATATATTATTCTATGTATTTTATATCATTATATAGTATCATATATAACTCACAATACTGTATATAATTATCTTTAATATTATTACTTTTAGCCTCCTAAACATTTCCACTAATAATAATTCTTACCTCCTTTGATTTTTAAAAACCTTTTTTTGTCTTTAAATTGTTGAAACATCACCTACTTAGACTTGATTCCAAATTTTCTTGTGCTCTTAGACTGTAAGAATGTTGAGGGCTAACAAGTGTGCCTTACTCATCTTTGAGTTTTCTATCATGTTCAGGAAAGTACTTTGGATAGAAATGAAGCTCAATGTTAAATAGAATTAAATTTATCAAAATAATCCAACCTATTTGGTATGTAGATAACCTTAGCAATTACTTGTGGGATAAATTAGATTTTGATTAATAGCATTTCCTTAAAAGCAATGTGTCTATATTCATTCATTTACATGGGAAAAATACTACTAGCGCTTTTAGTTTTACATGTATTAATTGACATTTTCTACTGCTTCTGATATCTTCTTCTTTTTAAGTTTATTTACTTATTTTGAGAGAGAGAGAGACAGAGTGTGTGGGGAGGGGGGAGGGAGGGACAGACAGAAAGAGAGATAGAGAGAGAGAAGCCCAAGCAGGTTCTACACTGTCAGTGCAGAGCCCAACTTGGGGCTCAAACGCACAAACCCTGAGATTATGACCTGATCTGAAACCAAGAGTCGGATGCTCAAATGGCTGAGCCACTCAGAGGCCCCTGCTTCTGATATTTTCATTGTGTACTAAATCTTTTATATAATTTAAGAAGATGTATCATCCAAGCATTCTCTTCTGCTAAAATTGCATTTTTGCTTCCAAAACTAATGTAAATGTTGTCAGAAAAATGTAGCAATGAACTATAATAAATCTAATTCAGTTGCATTGTTATAGGTCATTATAAATCTCAATAAAATTGTTATTTTTCCTAATGAAAACATTATTGAAAACTATGATTTGATCTTATTGTTTTGCCCACAGAGGCATGAAAAACAATATTAAAAATAAAACTATTTTTCTTTTGCTTGTATTTGTTATTTCCAAAATCCAATTACAAAAAAATGAACTGTAAAATAAAAACAGATATTAATTTATCAGTAACAGCTTGCCCATCTCTGTGATGACAAAATTTTCTTAAAGTATACATGTCCTGAAAGAGGAAGCTTACATTATAAAAAAATTATAAGGCTATAGAAATTGAATTTTAACTTAATAAATATTTATTGAGTGTCCAGTACAATTCAAGTATTATGTTAGATGCTAGGGATACAAAAGTGGCCAGACATTGCTTCTGTTTGCAAAAAGTATAATAAGGTAATGATGGAAGTATGTATAGCTTTTCAACACAATACAAAGGGGTTAGACTTAATTCTGTTTGTAGGGGTAAGATTTCTTACTTACAGAAACATGACAAGGAATTTGCCTCTTAGAGCTCAGTTATCAAGATAGTTGTGGGAGAAGAAATGTAAAAATGCACAGAGATGTAATGGTATGGCATATCAGGTGAAATAGTGTCATACTGCTTGATACAGAGATGAGTGGGGCGCTCTCAGGGATTGAGTTTGGATAAAGGGTACATAGGCATGTAATTTGTAAATTACAACTTGAGGACATGAAAAATCATGAGGAGCCTGTGTCTCCAGTTTAAAACATGCTTTTAAAATCTGGCATTTGACAGGAGATATTGATATCTAGTCATGGGCATTTTCATCTTATCAGTATACTGAATCCAGAAACAGAAAACTAATAAATTATTCTGAGAAGAAATCTTGGCAGTCATTTGGAGCACATTTAACAAAAATTTGGAAATATGCTCTGGATCGTTACGAAGATGTCTGCAGTGGCTATTAAAATGTTTTCTAAGACTGATCTAATAATATTTGACCAAAATGCATTTCACAGAATGTCTTTGCTATTAATTGACAAGGTGACAAATTTAGAAGTCTATATTTTTGTTACCTTGATTAGAAATAAGAAACACTAGTGAAATAATGTCAGCTCATTTTACACATATCTATTACAAGAATGTGTCTGCCATTAGAAAATCCCCTTTTCAATAATTTATTTTCTTCATTCATTCAATAATGAATGTATTGAGTACTTACATTCCTTGAATATGTGTGCATATATGTTTGTATGGATGGATTTAGTCTTCACCGAGATTAATTTCATTTAAAAAATTGAGTGTTTAAAATATGGGCTTTGTAATTCAGATTCCCAAAGTTTAAATTCTGGCTTAGCTATTTTCTAGGTATATAAATAAGAACAAGTTATTTTGTTTCTCTTAATTTCTATTCCTTCATGTTTATAAAAGAGATACATGTACAAAAGGGATACATGTAACAACACTGAGTACCTTGTCCTCCACATAGGAAATGCTCACCAAATGCAGATTATTGTTGTTATTAGAATAGTATTATTATTATCATTAAGGTTATGCACAGAAAGTGTATTTACAAGTCCTACTGATGATCTACTACTGAAAACCATAGATCAGTGAAATCCAGTATTTTGTGAATCACTCATACAGTAGGTAAAAAAAAAATAACTTGATGCATAATTTGTCTATCTCTTATCTAAACTTTCTATATCTACTTATCCGATTAAATCTCAAAGGACAGTATAGGATATGATATTCCTTTAAAGATATAAATTCTGTTTCAATTAGTTGTAATCTTGAAGAGCTACCACTTTATCAGAGTTTATTATATTATTATTAATATTATCTTATCTATAAGATTAATGAATATTTTACCCTTGAAGTAAGAGAAATTTGAACTCTGTTTTTTTCTTATTTGTTTACCTTCCCAATATTAGCACTTTCTTTAACCTTCATTTCTTTGCAGGAATCTTTCTAATTGAGCTACTTCGTACAGTTTATTTTAATTTAAATTAAATAATATAATATGTAAATCCAATTAATCAGCACAAATGCAAACTGTAATATATAAGAGTATGCTGAAAGTTAAATAATGAATTTCTTATTCTTGATTCTTCTTTATCACTCAAAAGTATTTCTGGAGTGTTTATAGTTATTTAAAATGCATTTAGCTAGCAACACTGAAATAAATAGCAAGAAATCTATTTATCTGAATCAGATAAGCAAAAGAAAAATATATAACATATATATATAATTAATTATATATAATATTTAGAAATATATATCTAGGGGCGCCTGGGTGGCTCAGTGAGTTAAGCATCTGACTTCTGCTCAGGCCATGTTCTCCACTGCTTGTGAGTTTGAGCCCTGAGACAGGCTCTGTGCTGACAGCTCAGAGCCTGGAGACTGCTTTGGATTCTGTGTCTCTCCCCTTTATGGCTCTGCCCTGCTCACAGCTTGTCTCTCTCTCTTTTTAAAAAATAAATAAACATTAAAAAACTTTTTTAAAAAAACCTTAAAAAGAAATTTATATATAATGGACTTAAGTACAGTAAAGAAGAATAAAACCAGGGAAAAGAGGCTGGTAACCAAGAATAAGAGTAGCCAGAAGTGAGGTCATGCTATCTTTGCATGAGAATAAGTCCCAGGATATTCCCTTTTCCATCTCCATATA